TACAACATGACCTCGTGAGTTTCTTAATTTCTCTGAGTCTCAGCTTTCTCATCTATAGGATGGAGATAAGGCAATCACCCTTGCTATTCTGAGGATTAAATGAGAAAATATATGGGAAGTGCTTGGCATAGCATAAATACTCAACACATATGGTAATTTTTAAAAAAACCCTCTATATTAGTCCCTTTTAATTAAAATTTTAATTAAAACAAAAGAAAAAACAAAAACCTCTGCTGGCCAGACTAGGGGACCCCTCAGGCTAGATGCACTGATTTAGTAATTTTAATAGTGGTAGGAGGCAGACAAACACCTAGGCAGATAGCAGCATGTCCCCAGTGAAACCCAACTTTCAAACCAAAGGCAGTTTAAAAGTCTGAAAGCTAAGCTACAAGTCTTGGATAAATCCACGGACTGAACTGAGAACCTCTCTTCCTGTTGGTGCACTTTCCTCTGACTGATCCCAACCCTTCACTTACTTTACATATATCTACCCTTCCCTAATTGGTTTTCTACACTGTCATGCCACCTTCGAATGGTGCCTTTGTTTTAGCCTTTTTTGCATACTCATAAACCAATCAGCATGCAGTCCCCACTTCTGAGCCCATAAAAACCCCAGACTCAGCCACACTGAGAGACCACCCGACTTCAGGTCAGGGACTACCTTTCGCATCCCCTCTCCACTGAGAGCCGTTTCATCGCTTCAGAAAAGTCTTCTCCGCCCTTTTCACCCTACCATTGTCAGCAAAGGGTACGAAGAAGGCAGTAACACCATAGCCCTCCACACCTCCCCCACTGTCTGCGACCAGTAGCAGCCACTTGCCACGAGAAGCAGTGCAGGGCCAGGCCAGCCAGGGAGCCTCCAGCAGGAGCAGACAACAGGACTGACAGAGTTGTTAACACACCCCCCCATTCGTTGTTAACATGCCCCTGTTTGTCAGGCTGCTGACGGTGGGACTAAAAACTGTTAGCATGGCTGTAACACCCCCTCTGAGGCTTCAGAGTCAGTGCTTTCCTGTTTGGGCGCCACCAAGTTCACTTCATCTGGATGTCAGAGTTCACCCTGGGAGTTGCTTCCAACAGGCCTGATCCAGCTGCAAGCCCCAAAGGGCACTTGGAGTGGCTGGCAAGATGAGGCACTCACTTGCTCACACACCCCCTCCTACTGGGGTTGAGCATGTAGTCTTGGTGGCTGCAGGAACCCCACCAGAGTGCAAGCCCAAGTGTGCAGGGCACCTCCTGCCTGGGGCAGAGCTAGGCATGGGCTGGAGCATCGAAGGCCAGAAGTCTGCAGTTGGAAAAGTGTCCGAGAAAAATCCTGCATCACTTTGGAAGCAGTCTTCCTATCCTAGAATGCCAGAGGGCAAACATCTGAAAGATCTGGAAGGATGAGGCAGCGGAGACCAAGATGTGACTGTGCACTGCCCCGTGAGAAGCAATCGAACCAGAGCAATTCCATCTTGAATAGGGGCTGGGTAAAATAAGGCTGAGACCTGCGGGGCTGCATTCCCACTAGCTTAGGCATTCTAAATCAGGATGAGATAGAAAGTCCGCGTAAGACACAGGTCACAAAGACTTTGCTGATAAAACACGATGCAGTAAAAGAGCCAGCCAAAACCAAGAGGGTGACGAAGGTGACCTCTGGTCATCCTCACTGCTCACTATATGGTAATTATAATGCATTCCCATGCTAAATGACACTCCTGCCAGTGCCATGACAGTTTACAAATGCCATGGCAACATCAGGAAGTTACCCTATAGGGTCTAAAAAGGGTAGGAACCCTCAGTTCCAGGAATTACCCACCCCTTTCCCAGAAAACCCATGAATAATCCACCCTTTGTTTAGCAGAGGATCAAGAAAAATTGTAAATATAGTCAGTCAAGTAGCTCATGCTGCTGCTCTGCCTATGGAGTAACCATTCTTTTATTCCTTTACTTTCTTTTTTTTTTTTTTTTTTTTTTGAGACGGAGTCTCGCTCTGTCGCCCAGGCTGGAGTGCAGTGGCCGGATCTCAGCTCACTGCAAGCTCCGCCTCCCGGGTTCACGCCATTCTCCGGCCTCAGCCTCCCGAGTAGCTGGGACTACAGGCGCCCGCCACCTCGCCCGGCTAGTTTTTTGTATTTCTTAATAGAGACGGGGTTTCACCGTGTTAGCCAGGATGGTTTCGATCTCCTGACCTCGTGATCCGCCCGTCTTGGCCTCCCAAAGTGCTGGGATTACAGGCTTGAGCCACCGCGCCCGGCCTATTCCTTTACTTTCTTAATAAACTTCCTTTCACTTTATGGACTTGCCCCAAATTCCTTCTTCCAAGAGGTCCAAGAACCCTCTCTTGGGGTCTGGATAGGGACCCTTTTCCAGTAACACCCCCATCACAGCCCTAATCACTAAGGGACCCGCTAGGCTCTTCCCTGCCCTCCCCAGACTGTCTCCCTTAAACATGCTGGATGCAGGAATGCATCAGTGACTCAGGAACAAAGTATGGACCTCTGCGGACAAGAAACGACCCCTCACAGGATATCCACATATATGTATGTCGGTGTACTGGGGCCAGGAGGCTACTAATAACAACGTTACCGCTGCTTCAAGAAAGCCGAGGCTCAGAGAGATTAAGGAACTTGTCCAGGGCCATACTGGAGTTCAGGCTCATGTCCTGTCATGGTCTGAGGTTTGAACTCCAACTGTTTAAAGAGTTGGGATAGAACTAGGGAGAGTGTGGTGGGTGGGAACTGTGTCCGGAATTGGGGGGTTCTTGGTCTAGCTGACTTCAAGAATGAAGCTGCGGACCTTCATGGTGAGTGTTACAGTTCTTAAAGATGGTAGTCCGAAGTTTGTTCCTTCAGATGTTCAGATATGTCCAGTTTTTTCTTTCTGGTGGATTCACGGTCTCTCTGACTTCAGGAGTGACGCTGCAGACCTTTGCAGCTAATGTTACAGCTCTTAATGGTAGTGCATCTGGAGTTATTCATTCTTCCCGGTGGGTTCATGGTTTTGCTGGTTTCAAGTGTGAAGCTACCGACCTTTGCAGTGAGTGTTACAGCTCATAAAGGTGGCCTGGCTCCAAAGAGCGAGCAGCAGCCAGATTTATTGCAAAGAGCAAAAGAACAAGGCTCCCACCCTTCAGAAAAGCGCTGATTGGCACTGGCAGCCTGCTTTTATTCCCTTATCAAGCCCCCCCACCCACATCCTGCTGATTGGTCCATTTTACATAGAGTTGATTGGTCTATTTTGCAGAGAGCTGATTGGTCCATTTTGACAGAGTGCTGATTGGTGCATTTACAATCCCTGAGCTAGACACAGAGTGCTGATTGGTGCATTTATGATCCCTTGGCTAGACATAAAAGTTCTCCAAGTCCCCACTAGACTGAGGAGCCCAACTGGCTTCACCTAGTGGATTCCACACGGGACCCTTGAGCGGAGCTGCCTGCCGGTTCTGTGGGTTGCACCCACACTCCTCAGCCCCTGGGCGTTTGATGGGACGGAGTGCCGCGGAGCAGGGGGCGGTGCTCGTCGGGGAGGCTCCCCGCGGGAGCCAACCTCGGGGTGGCGGGTGCGGGCATGGCCGGCTGCAGGTCCCGAGCCCTGCCCCGCGGGGAGGCAGCTGAGGCCCGGCAAGAACTCCAGCGCAGCGCCGGCAGGCCGGCACTGCTGGGGGACGCGGCGCACCCTCTGCAGCTGCTGGCCCAGGTGCTAAGCTCCTCACTGCCCTGGGCCTGCGGCGCCGGCAGGCCGCTCCGAGTGCTGGGCCCGCCGAGCCCGCGCCCGCCGGAACTCCCGCTGGCCTGTGAGCGCCACAGCCCCCGTTCCCGCCCGCGCCTCTCCCTTCACACCTCCCCGCAAGCAGAGGGAGCTGGCTCCGGCCTCGTCCAGCCCAGAGAGGGGCTCCCACAGTGCCGTGGCGGACTGCAGGGCTCCTCAAGCGCGGCCAGAGTGGGCGCCCAGGCCAAGGAGGCGCCCAGAGCGAGGGCTGCCAGCATGCTGTCACCTCAGAAACAGCGGGCAGATAGATGCTGGCTGGACTCCAAGAGGCCTAGGGTCTGCCAGAGGGACAACAGGTGAGGAAAACAGGCCTCCCGGTGGATGAGCGAATCCTCAGAGGAGAATGGGCGCAGACCCGGAGGGCCGTGAAAGTTATTACTGTCTTGGTCGCATAAGAAAGGGGGTAACTAGCGGTTTCTAGGCTGAAAAAAGGAGGTGGGCTGGAGGTTCCCCCCTCCAACCGCGGAGCACGCAGCCGCTCAGCAGGCCGCCACACAGTGGTCCCCCACCTCCGCAGCTGCGGGGCCTGAACTCGCCAATAGTAGGTTCCTCCTGCATGCGCGGCTTCACCCTCCCTCCAGGGCTCCCGTTGCATTTCACTCCCTGCCTAAGGTCGCCCGCCGGTGACGGCAGAGGAGTAAGAACCGCAGCTCCCGAGGACAGAATCCGCTCCAAGGCACCCTGACCGGCGTTCACCCCGACCCCAGCTGCGGCCCGCCGCCCTGGTCCCCATGGCGCTGCACGATCTTCCCTTCCAACACCGAGGGCGCTGCAAGGCCGCCCTGTCCGTGCCACTCATTCATATTAGTGACTCCTGCCCCCATGCTTTCCTCAGGTGAGTTCCGACTGCTCTGCCCGAAACAGCTTCGTCCCACACTCTTACGGCAACTTCATCCCAAATTCCCTTCCGTTCTGGGCAAATATTGTCCTTTACCCGGCAGTGGGGTCGCTCCAGAGCTTCCAAACCAGCTTCCTCGGGGCGCTGTGCAGGACCGGGCCCCTTGGTGGCCACGCCTCCTGGGTGCAGGGAGGGCGGGACATGCAAATGACGGCCCTCGCGACCAAGGAAAAGGGGCGACAAAGATCGAAGTCACTAAGAAGCAGACAAAATGTCTCAAAGAGGGTATGTTTTCAATGTAATGTTTACATCAGAAAACGAGTGAAATGTTTACCGAAGATGAGGTTTCTCACCGTGACCTTAAGGTGAGTGCAAGAAGGGAGGCTCTGGGAGGGGCCATACTCCTGCTATTGTTTTTGGGGTTTTTTTTGGCTCGGAAGAACGGTAGTGTGTGTTCTTATTAGCTTAATATCTGTATCTGTTCTGGTAAATATTAAAGGCATTTTTTGGAAGCAGGAGTTGGTAGTGGGAGCTTGCTCCATCTTGCACTCATAGACCTGGTATGGTAGTATTTCCAGGAACGATAGTGCGCTTCATCTCATAAATACTAATAAAGATAGAGTTGTTCGTGCCTTCATTAACGTCGAGTTTTTGTGGTTGCGTATGACTTTATAACAGTATGGCTGTTATAAAAAGAAAAGACAGGCATGCTAGCAATTTAGAAGACATAGGTCTACTGTTTCGATTAAATTTTCCAAGATGAGGTGGCTGACGCACAGCAATCCCAGCTCTTTTGAAGGAAGATTGAGCCCGGGAGTTCAAGATCAGCGTGAGCAAATATGGCAAGACTGAGTTTTCTGAGACAGCGTGATTCTGGCTCACTCAATGCATCCTTGGACTCCTGGGTTCATCCACATCAGCCCCTGGAAATAGCAGGCGCGTGCCATAACAATGGGCAAGTGTGAAGTTTTTTGTTTTCATATGTATATATGGTTTTTTTGTTTTTGTTTTTTGTAGAGGTGTTTCCCCCGCGTTACCCAGGCTAGTCTCAAACTCCTGGGATCTGGGCTCAGGGATCAAGCGATCCTCGCACCCAACCCCAAAGTGCTGGGATTACAGGTATGAGCCACACTGCACCTGGCACTCTACAAAAAAAAAAAAAAGAAGAAGTTTTTAATTAGCTGGGTGTGGTGGCTCATGCCTTTAGTCCCAGCTACCTAAGAAGCTGAGGTGGGAGGATTGTTGCATGAACTCAAGAGGTCAAGGAGCCATGATTGTGCCACTGCACTCCAGCCTGGATGAGAGAGCAAGACCCTGTCTCAAAAAATAACAAAGATAAAAAGGAGGCCAAGCATGGTGGCTCACGCCTGTAATCCCAGCACTTTGGGAGGGCAAGTCGGGAGGATCGCCTGAGGTCAGGCGTTTGAGACCAGCCTGGCCAACATGGTGAAACCCTGTCTCTACTAAAAATACAAAAATTAGCTGGGCGTGGTGGTGGGCGCTTCTAATCTCAGCAAAGACGAATCATTTGAACCCGTGGGGGATGGGCGGGGTGTGGAGGTTGCAGTGATCCAAGATCCCGCGACTGCACTGTAGCCTGGGCAACAGAGCGAGACTCTGTCTCAATAAAAAAATAAAAATAGCAGCCTAGCCAACATGGTGAAACCCCATCTGTACTAAAAATACAAAAATTAGCTGGGTTTGGTGGCGGGCGCCTGTAATCCCAGCTACTCGGGAGGCTGAGGTGGGAGAATTGCTTGAACCTGGGAGGCGGAGATTTCAGTGAGCTGAGATCGAGCCACTGCACTCCAGCCTGGGTGACAGACCTTGTCTCAAAAAAATAAATAAGGAAAGGCCAGGTGCAGTGGCTCACGCCTGTAATGCCAGCACTTTGGGAGGCAAAGGTGGGCAGATACCCTGAGGTCAGGAATTCGAGACCAGCCTGGCCAACATGTTGAAACCCTGTCTCTACTGAAAATACAATTAGCTGGGGCGTGGTGGTGCACGCCTGTAATCACAGTTAAACCGGAGGCTGAGGCAGGAGAATCACTTGAACCCTGGAAGCAGAGGTTGCACTGAGCAGAGATCCACCACTGCACTCCAGCCAGGGCGACAAAGGAAGACTCCGCCTCAAAAAATAAAAGTAAAAAAAATAAAAAATAAAAGGGAAAAAGGCAGGTTTCGTATTAAAACTGAGAGCATGAGGGCCAGAGCCGTACTGGAGTCATCAGTTATCTGGAGCACCGTTGTTCTGGTTGTTACTGCATTGTTGAACCCGCACACCTAGTGGATGAAGCAAGATTACACTATCTTCTGCTCCTAAAACCCACTTCTTATTTTGTTCTCAGCTAGTGGATGTGTCAGATATTACATAATAAGCACAGATATTACCCTTGATCTTGGGTAGAAGCAATAAATTGCATTTTTGATTAAAAATCTTTAGTCTTTGTATAGGTAAAATAAAATTTCATTTGCAAAACTTATTTACTCCTGAGGGCTTGAGGATGAGGACATAGCCATTGATTGGTAAAGGTGTGGTGTTTTTGCGTCTGTCTTCTACTGTTGGTGGAGGTGGGCTTATATCATCCTTGGATACATTATGACAAGATTAAAGGAAGATGGAGAAATGAGTTGCTCTTTGAGGAAAGAACAGTCAGGGAAATCTAACTGCATAGTTCTTTTTCAAAATAAAAGCTGCATAGCAGCCTCACCTCATCTGTTATAAACCAGGACAGGACAGGCATGGTGGCTCAAGCCTGTAATCCTAGCATTTTGGGAGGCTGAGGTGGATAGATCACTTGAGCCCAGGAGTTCGAAACCAACCTGGACAGTGGCAAAACCCTGTCTCTAGAAAGAAATACAAAAACTTAGCCGGGTATGATGTTGTATGCCTGTAGTCCCAGCTCTTTGGGAGGCTGAGGTAGGAGGATCACTTGAGCCTAGGGAGGTCAAGGCTGCAGTGAGCCATTATAGCTCCACTGAACTCCAGCCTGGGTGATAGAGGCAGACCTTGTCTCAAAAATAAATAAATAATAAAACCAGGACAAGGGAGTTGTATACCCTGGTACCCCCAAAAGAGATGTTGAAATGCGAAGTATGCAGTACTTGTTCCCCCTTTGTGGGCTAAGCAAGCATGAGCTTTACTTGCCTGTTGGAACTTTTGGCCCTCCAGGGTGAAACCGTAGACACAGGAGCAGCTTAGGGACAAGAGAGAGCCATGGAAATAATGGATAAAGTAAGCAAGAAAGTGATCTCTTTAGCATATAAATGCTCTACACCACGGTTTATTTCAGGGCTGGAAGAGCCTTAAGGAGTCTGGGTGGGGCAGCGCTTGTCCGTCACAGAAACAAGAATATCCCTTTCTGATAAATTTCAGCATCTACAGCCCTTGGTAATGCCATCATGAAGTGATTCCTGGCCCAGCTCAGTGGCTCAGGCCTGTAATGCCAGCACTTTGGGAGGCAGAGGCGGCTGCATCACCTGAGATCAGGAGTTCAAGACTAGCCTGGCCAACATGGTGAAATCATGTCTCTACTGAAAATACAAAAATTAGCGGGGCATGGTGATGCATGCCTGTAGTCCTAGCTACTCGAGAGGCTGAGGCAGGAGAATCGCTTGAACCCTGGAGGCAGAGGTTGCAATGAGCCGAGATTGCACCACTGCAGCCCAGCCTGGGCTACAGAGTGAGACTTCATCTCAAAAAAGGAAAAAAAAACAAAAAGAAAAGAAGTGATTCCTGAGCCCTTTCGTGCTTTCACTTCAGCTTGTCTGATAATAACTAGCATCTGCCTTCTGTATATTAGATATCTTTCAAGTGTCCAGAGCTTATGAAACAGCAAGAGCAGAAATCCCACACACTGTGGGGAGGTAGAATGGAAGGAGGGCAGGCATTGGCCTTGGAATCGGAAGATGGACTTGAACATGCTAACTTCTATACGTGGCTAAGGGCAGATCACTTAACCTCTTTAACCTTACTTTTCATCTTAAAATGGAATTAAAAAAAAAATTTGCCTCAGCAAGGGTTATTTGAAGATGAAATGTGCCAGTACCATGTTAGCTGAATCAAATAATCAGAGCGCAACAATGGGAGCCCACAATAAAGTGTGAAATTTCATGGTGCTGAGCCTGACATTCAGGGTTGCCCAAAGGTGAAATCTGTGCCTGCCTGCTAAATGGTGACAATAATCTCTCACCCAGACCGGGCAGCTACACAACCTGGACTTGCAGGGGCCTCCATTTTGTTTCTTCTCCCACTTTATTTTCCTTTCTCCCAAATTTCTTCACATTGCAATATTTATTTATTTATTTATTTATTTTGAGACGGAGTCTCGCTCTGTCGCCCAGGCTGGAGTCCAGTGACAAGATCTCGGCTCACTGCAAGCTCCGCCTCCCAGGTTCATGCCATTCTCCTGCCACAGCCTCCCGAGTAGCTGAGACTACAGGCGCCCGCCACCACGCCCAGCTAATTTTTTTGCATTTTTAGTAGAGACGGAATTTCACCGTGTCAGTCAGCATGGTCTGGATCTCCTGACCTCGTGATCTGCCCACCTCGGCCTCCCAAAGTGCTGGAATTACAGATGTGAGCCACCGCGCCCGGCTTTTTTTTTTTTTTTTGAGACAGAGTCTCACTCTGTCGCCCAGGCTGGAGTGCAGTGGCATGATCTCGGCTAACTGCAACCTCCACCTCCCGGATGCAAACGAATCACTTGCCTTAGTCTCTCAAGTAGCTGGGATTACAGGTGCGCGCCACCACGCCTGGCTAATTTTTGTAGTTTTAGTTGAGATGGGGTTTCGCCATGTTTCCAGGCTGGTCTCAAACTCCTGATCTCAGGTGATCCGCCCACCTTGGGCTTCCCAAAGTGCTGGAATTACAGGAGTGAGCCACTGCACCCAGCCTGCAAATAATTCTTTTAATAAAGTCCTTATCTTTGTAAGCTTCTTCAGTACTTGAAATTACGCCTGCCTGGGTGCCATGGCTCATACCTGTAATCCTAGTACTTTGGGAAGCCAAGGCAGGAGGATCACTTGAGCTCAGGAGTTTCGAGTCCAGCCTGGGCAACATGGTGAAAGCCTGTCTCTACTGCACACACCTGTGCATGTGTGAATGCCTGTGGCACACGCCTGTGGTCCCAGCTACTGAGGAGGCTGAGGTGGGAGGATCAATGGAGCCTGGGAAGTCGAGGCTTCAGAGAGCCATGATCACCCTACTGCACTCCAGCCTGGGTAAGAGTGAGACCCTGTCCCAAATAAATAAATAAATAAATAAATAAAAATGTAAAAAATGAAATTACATCTGACATAAATAAACCCATGAATTGCACAGGCATTATATGTGACATTGGGCCTAGGGCTTAAAATGTGTGGCCTTTCAGGATTCTAGGAGGAGTTTGGTGAACAAAGTCCATCATCTGGGAACATAAAAGAATAAAGAATGCTCATATAAATGGAGGCATAAGCCATGTTCATATACTGAAAGTTCTAACGCTGGAAAGATGTCAGTTCTCCTCAAATTAACCTACAGATTCAGTGTAGCCCCAAGCAAAACTGCAAGTGTTTACAGAAATTGATGAGCCAGATTTAAAGTTTATATATAA